AAAATTGTGTTTTGCAGCGAAATCTTCCATAAAGTGAATGAATGGTTGAGCGATAATCCCAAATGGGAAGTGAAAACAGCCGAGACATTGATTTATGACTCGACCACCGGTTTTGGCCAAAAGTTGCCGTTTTTCGCCGGAAAATTAGTGAAACGCAATCTACGAGGAGTCAGGTATGCCGTAACATACCATACCTTTCCATAAGTCATACGATATGGTGCCTTATCTCTCACTGTGTTGAATGCAAACACAATTCAGACCAATAATTAAGTACATTGTTTACGGAATCATAAAATTCTGTACTCTATGTACTGTACTATTATTTCTAACAAATAACATACTTTTTAGCGGTTTTGGAAATTTTTTATTAATTTATTAGTCAGTTCTGTGACAAACATTTTATTTTCGACGCCTAATCGCTAAGACTTGTATTAATTATTATTATGGTTTTGATAAGAAGAATATAAATTACATTCTCTCTCTCAACAGGACTTTGACATTCATTATACCGTTAAACAAATATAAATAAATCTGTAAATACAGTACTCGATGTGTTTGTCGATGCAAATAATAAGGCATTCATTTGATACAAAGTGTTTTTGTTAATAATTAGCTGAGAGAGAGAGAGAGAGAGAGAGAGAGAGAGAGAGAGAGAGAGAAATTCAATTTGATTTGAATTTAATTTGTAATTTAAATAATTTATATCCAAATCAATCAAAACCTCGCAAACCAGAGAGAAAAGGGTGTCATTCATACCAAACATTAAATTAATAAAAAAATTTCCACACATTTTCCCCGCACTTCAACATAACAAACAAAAAAATCATTCAAAACTTATTTAAATTGAAATTCACTCGAAAAACGCGTGAAAAATAAAAATGAGTGGAAAAAAGTTAAATAAATTAAATTTTGTCTGTTTAGTATTATTTTTGTTTTATTTGTCAAATAGTGTGAGTGAATGATAGCACACGAGACAAACATATAATTTATTTAAACACAATATACTGTGTACTACAAAAGTGTATATAGTTTATTATTCAAACAAAATTTCTAGTAGATTGTATGATATTTAAACCCATATTTACGCCACTCGTGTGACTATTTGGCTTAAATGCCATTTAAAGGCTGCATTTATTTCCAACCCATTATATACTTCATACAGACTGTTAGGTTACTTGTATTACAGACTCAGTCTATCATTGATTTATTTAATATATAGTTACTCTGAACAGTCGACTAGAACACCATATTTGTAGAATTTGGTGGAGTTTCCCTTTCCTGTAGTTTTTCTATTAGATATCCCTTTCCTTTCCGGGTATTCCGAGTAAATTCCATTTCCGGCTTATTTTAGTTTCTAATCCATTGAGAGTTAGGAAATCTATTGATAAGTGTTTCTATTGATGGTTAGGACCCTATAGTCAAATATGTTGAGAACTGTGTGATATTATTTGATACACAATTATAAAAGTTATTATTTTAGCAAAATATTAATATTTCATTATTGTTTTAAATGTATCCAACGGATCAGGGGTTTAATTATTACTTGTAGATGCAATTGAACAAGCAATAAGTGGTACTAAGATATTTAAGTTAATAATTTTATGTTAGATTAGCAATTGAACTATCCACTAATTAAAATTTGAAAATAAGTTAAATTGGATACTAATAATCACTATACAGTATTATAAATAATTAATAAGCTCGTAACACTAAACCCTGATCACAGTCTACCAGTTTTATTACAGATAGGAAATAAAACTAATAATAGAGAGAATGATTCATTGATTTAATATAATTTTGTGTTTTCTGTAATAATAATAATAACTGTGAGACGTGTGTATCCATCAGATTATGGCTAATACCGCGATTACATCAGCGAAGTACACCGCAAAAGATCGGTTGCATTAATGTTGTGCCGAGACTTAAGATCACAAACAATAACACAAATGGTGTCATATATAGCCCCGAAATATTTATCAACGATAGCGCTGGAAGTGGTGGCACCGATGGCACTGATGGTGAGGTCGCCGATAAGGGCCCTCCATCTCCATCTCCCTCGCCCTCCACTCCGACAAACACGAGTAGCACTCAGTCATCATTCCTATCGTCAAAACCAATATACGAGACGTTGGATGAGATGCTGGTGCGGGTGAATGAGTTATTTGCCAAAAAGCCCATCAATGGTATGTCCAGTGATATATATAGACAGAAATATTTATTTATATATATTTATGCGGACTTTTAATGTACAGAAATCTCTAAAACAATTCATAAATATTTTTATTTATATTTATTTTCATATCTCTTTCGAAAGGAAAATATTTTTCAATTCATTTTTCATACTATTCTCCGAAACGTCTCTTCAATATTCAATTCAATAGAGATTTTTATATATAAGAAAATATTTTCTCATATTCTCGACGAATATTCTTGTACTCGATGTTAGACTCTGTAGTCAAACAAATAAATCTTAAAACAAAATTAATTCCAATGAAAACTATAAATCAAAAGCCATAGTCGCTTACTATCAGTACAGAAATGAGAGCAAAAAATAATATGAAAAGAATTTTCAAATATCAATAAAAATGTCAATTTTCAAAGACTGGAAGAGATTTTTTTAGTCCAACATAAAAAAGTTTTGATTAAAATCTTATTTTTTAAAACCCTTATTATATTAAATTTAAGTCTAATGTAATAAATATTCACGAAATATTTCAAAGTTTATTAAGTCTAGGGTTAACACTGCGTAAAAATGTCAAACATGTCACTCACAATATAAACCCCATGTTACATTTATACGCGATAATCAATTAGCATGAAAGTCATTTAAATAATTTTATTAAAAAAATAAAAATATAATAAAATAAATAAAATTCTACTTTTATTTATGAGGCCGAGTATTAAGTGTGGAAACGGTGCCCATACCTGTCGAGTGTAACAACTGGTCGGTGGACACGGAGCAGTCCTACTGGTCCGATGAGCACCAGAAAAATAATAACACGGTCTTCATATTGCGGATATATTTTGAATACGGAAATACGACCAGGGAACAGTTGGAAATTATCGATTTCATACCCAGAGTCCAGATATGGGACGCGCCGTTAGCTGTGCCCATATACGAGTCCTTTTCCAGGTATGTATCCCCCTATCACTCGCTTTATATGACTTTTTTATAATTTTATTTCTTGTTTTCTCATTATTTCTTGTGTTGAAGTGTTTAATAATTTATTAGATTTTTGTTATGTTTTAAATTAAATTTTTTTCGTTTCGTTTTCATTGTTTTTGATCGATTAGTTTGCGGTGAAACGAAATGAATTGTAAATTCGTGTAATAAATGAGATAAAAATATAAATAATAAACAAAATATACCTGTATCTACTG